AAAACATGAGTTAATATATGTAAAGAGCTTTTGAACATTTATTAATATCTAGGACTTAATGAAGATTAGTCATTATTTTAATGGCTATTCTTTTAGCTTTTAGAAACATCTGCATCTTTTTGAAGCTGTATATTAAAACCAGAGAGAGACATCTTCCCATTTGTGTAAAACACATCCATCAGCGCTGTCACACCAGCTGTTGTCAGCAGATTTTCCCTGTTGTGGTTCTGTAACCAGTGCTCACTGGACAAGTCCTCAGAGCCCTCCTTAGGAATCACTTTATGTTCACTTTGCTTCCTTTGGTATAAATTAGTAATTTTTCATTCTTGACTTCCCTCTCTAAGCATTTATGAATTCCCTAAAGAATATGGGGAGGAGGAATTATTTGGAGCAAATTGGGAAAGCATTGTGAAATTAGAACTCCTCTTTTGTAACCCCACCACCGCTCGTCTACAGCGAAATCATAGGATGCTGTCTGCGGTTTTCTGCGGATGGAGCTCTGGGTACCCAACTTCAGCCTCAGTAAACTCTCTTCTTTATTGGCGATCTTTAATACTCTTCCCCCTTAACACATGGTGACAATGTGCTACATACAGGCCACATAAAGGGGTAAAAGGAAGGATCTCCACATCCAAGGAGTACAAACAAGGAGCTAGACAAAGATATAACTAACTCATGAATGATAGCAAGAATCCCACTGTGATAACCCCTATTAGGGTAACATACAGGGAAGGAGATTCTGACTGAGAGCTTAGGGAGAGGTTTAAAAAGCGGCAACATTGGCAGTAAACCCTGAAGAACAGCAGAGGAGGAGAGGAAACCATAAAAGCACAGCCGAGATGGGTAAAGGCACAGGAATGTGAAAACAGCTTATTCAGGGAACAGCAGGTGGTGCTGTGTAGTTGGAGCAGAAGGTAGGTGGGCTGGGGGTTAGGAGGTGAGGAACAGAGGTCTCTGTGGCCTGGGGAGTCTGCTCAGCTAGGTCTTCTCGGGTGCCGGGACCGGGGTGGTGGGCCTTCTCCCACCGCGTCCTCGGGGTCAGGTCCTGGGGTATGCCCTCATTCCCCCTCCTCTCTTCAGTCTTCTCTTGGCCTCGGCCCACACATCCTTCTCACCTCTGCACTTTAGAAGTCTTGTTTTCCCAAAGGTCTTTGCTGCTGGTCTGGCATTTACTATCCTGTCACGTATTACAAAAGATATGGAAGGTGAAATGGCATAGGAATTTGTACAAAACATTGGCCCCTCAGGGTAAAAATCGGAGCCTAACAATGTGGGAACAGGCCCGTAG